TTGGTCTTAGTCTGCACCAAGCTAATGCAGATTCTCACACAAAATAAAACACATTCCAACCAGACAAGTACATAAATATTGCCTGGAAGACTGAAGGAACCTACCCTTTTCCAAGCCCTTCTTCAAACAGCTAATAGCCAGAATCTCTACAGAATGTATTGACGATGTCTGCTTTAGTCTCAGTTTGCCAGCATTGCTTAACCCTTGCCATTACCAATCAATTGATTCAAAGGTTGTGCAAACTGACCTTCATTCCCCTGCAGAGACTGAGTTTGCAGAACTGCAGAGTCTTCATTTATGAGTTTCCAGAGATCTGCTTAGGGGTTGTTTTCCTTTTCATTTTATTGCCATCTCTATAAATAGCTATGCTGGAATTTTTGGAGTAGTTAAAAAATGTGTATTTATTTATTTATTTAATTTAAAGTAGTTCTGCAGTATATATCCAGGATTACAGAAGAAACATGAGTGAGCATTTTTAGCTACATGAATATAACAGGATTAAAACCGAGCTCTCTTTAGCTCCTTCAAACCAAGAAAAAGAGCAGCTCATCCTACTCAGCTTTGAGCACTTACCACTTTGCAGTGGAGACTGAGGGCAGGGGGTAGCTCAGGCTTTTTTCCCGCACTGGCAGCCTTTCTCCTTGGCCATCAAGTTTAATTTTATCTGCTTGCTTCCAGCTCTTCTGTGCTGTTCAGGGCAAACATCTTGTCCATATATGCAATGGGTTTCCTGTGAAAACCCAAACTGAAGATGTGGCTGCAAGCTGTAACTTGCATCTTGACAGCTCCCCAGTCAGGTAGAGGGTCTCAACACGTTAAATTTTGTCAGTGTGAAGGAGGGTTTGGCCAGAAATACACATGCTAGAAGATATATCTTGTGGCAACAAATCCCAAAGGCAGACCACGAGGGGCTTCAAATCTCATTAGTGCAGAAAATGCATTCTCAGCTATCACTGATGGTCTCTGGCATCAGGCACATACTTCAAAAAGCACAGAGAGAGCAAAACTTTAATAAAGCCACTTCATGGGCTTTCAGCAGCTCTCTTCCCTCTCTAGGAAATCTCCCAGCTATTCTAAACTGCACTGACACAGCTGAACCCAGGGTTGGGTACACCTTAGTGCCAAGCCAGGCTGCTGCTTCGTAGCAGGGCCCAGCAGAAGCCACCACTCACCCAACACACAGACCAACGCTTCATAAGCTTTTCAGCAAGGAGAAAAACCAGATACTGAGGCTAACTACTCTTCCCAGGGACCAAACCATTCAATTTGTTTTATATGGAGTTGCTCAGATTCATCCCATATCAATATCTGTCTCTGTTACTGCTGCAGGATCATTCAAAAGGCTGATGCAGGTCTACAGGACACACAGTACCACATGGGCAGCAGGTCAGCCTGGCATTTAACCACTCCTCTGCCTTTGCTCCATTTCTGCTAAGGAGGTTGTGGCAGATCTGTTTGAGAACACAGCAGCACCTTCAGCCTTTTCCAAGAAACCTCACATCCTCACTACTGCCACAAAGAGGAGACCAGCACTGGTTCAAACACCACATGTTACAGACCCAAATATTCTTCAGCTGCACCCTCCTCCTGACAGTACGCTCACCAGCAAAAAACTGCTGCTTTCCCTGGTGACACTTACCTACTTCTCTGTCAAACCCCCAGCATGACCATGATTTTTTCCTGTGCTTATGGATTTGTAGCCAGTGCTGCTAAGCATCTCTTGTAAGAGGACCAAGCGTGTGCAGCAGCAAATGGCACTGCACAGGGTCTATCCTGCAGCAGTAATAGAGACAGACATTGATATGGGATGAATCTGAGCAACTCCATATAAAACAAAACTCCGATATCCAAAGGCCAGGTTTCCTACTGAGTACAGCCTCCTGTGTTTTCTGTGTGCTGAGCTACCCTTACATTTCCAGCTCAGCCTACAGATGAGCGATATTTAACTTATACAATAGCAGGTGCTAGGATTTATTTTTTTAAGGAATTCACAGCAGTATAATGTAATGTAGAGATAAATTACTGTCATGCTAAATCTGCTTTCTGATCCCACCCCCCACCTCACATTCCTCAGATAAACTGACACTTATTATTTCAGTAAAACGGTGATGTTACATACGCCTCTGTGTATACAGTGAGATAATACATTTGAATTATTTCTAGATGCTCTGATGCAGAAAAAATGTATGAAAGCAAGTAAATTTCAAGTTAACTTTCCCTCACTCTGAAGTTTCTACTGAACTCAAAGCTCAGCTGGCAACTCTGCATTTTCCTAAGCCTGCCCACTGCATTATAAACGATTTACTGCATTATAATGCAGCATGGGAATTACAGATATTTTGCTGTCACTTACATGCCAGTCTCCCACAGATAGTCCACAGAAGAACTGTTTATGACCCGTATCCACCAGATCATCACTGACCTAAGCTTCAGCATGAGACTGCCTAAAGGCAGATGTCTTTCAAGGAAAGCATGAAGCTGAACGCACTGGGGGGGGGGGGGGAAATCTATATATATATTTTAAACGGCACTTATAGAATCATGGAATCATTAAGGTTGGAAAAGACCACTAAGATCATATAGTCCAACCACCAACACATCCCCACCAACCCATGCCCCTAATTCTACCCACCTACACTGAAAAAGGATATGTTTACATAGCTAGTCCTTACAAATTTCCATTTAATAACTTCTAAGTCTTCCATCTTTATTTCATATGGCTTCATTGCTGCACAGTGTTAAGTTAACATTTCCCTTTGAGCTCAATTGCAAAGCAATGTTTGTGTGACTGGCTGAGGATCTTCCCAGGGAAAACGAGATGCATGAATAAAACAACATCATCTGAAAAAAATGATGAATTATAATTGAAATCAGCAGCTAGAAATCTAAAAATCTGTATTCTTCTTGCAATAATTTTAGCAAAGGATGTATATGTTATCTCCAACAAACTGGAAAAGGTACTTAGTGGAGCGTGCATGTTTCAGCACTATTTAAACAACAATGTAATCACTCAATTTAAGTACAACTTTCCAAGCTACAATAATTAAAACTGTTTTGTTTACCTCTATGGCAGAGAAGATCAGAATTTTTTCCAAGCTATTTGCTATAAACAACTGATTTTTATGCACGTTTAGACACCTGCAGGCACAAAATGGCATTTCACCAGCGAAGTATCACAATGTGTCAAAACCCAGGCAACTATTTGCCTTGTTTGGTGAGTAAGCACCATCAAACCTTGGTCTTCCCTCCTGCAGCACTTTTTGACTTGGAGAAATTCCATTATCCAAATAAAAAATGTTCTGCAGCAGCTTACAAGCAACATCATAAAAAAACACTGGAGCAGTATTTACATTTGGCAGCAACCTATGGAGAAAGGCAATGGGAGTGAAGAGGCATCACACATTGCATGCAGATGTGCAAAACAGATGCATGGTGGAGAGCGTTCAACCCTGCTATGTATAGGCTGGTTCAGACCAAGTTGCTACGCCCCAGCACTTCACTTTCTTGCAGCCTGTTTTCTCATCCCTGACACATCTCCAAACTGGAACTTCTGGCACACTGAAGTACCTTGAGAACATCACCAGACCAACATCATTTTGTCCTTCTGGTAGTTAATACTCATTCTGCTCACTCACTGACAGAAGAACACAAAATTAAAGATGAACAAATCTCTTGTTTGTGCCAGTAAAAGTTACGAGTCATGTTTATGATCAAAAGCTTCGGAGATTTCTCATTTTTTAAAAAATTTTTTTGCAAAGAGCTCAGAGTCTTACAACAATCACAATCACTTACACAAGTGCTTATATATTAACTGCATTGCTAGAGTTGGAGGTGCTCAAGGACGGGTTGGATGAGTTCCTGGGAACCTGATCTGGTGGAGGCAGCCAGCCCACGGCACAGGGCTTGGAACTGGGTGATCTTTAAGCTCCCTCCCAACCCAAGCCACTCCATGATTCTATGACCATAGTTAACCCATGGAAGCTACATGGTAAGCACGAGTCTACTCAAAGGATTGTAGCTTGACTTTCCCTAGTTCGCCACTGGACATGGAAGGCACATTATTTACTTAGGAAAAAAGGTTTTGCATTTCTGTGAGTTCCTGCTGTTCTAATGAGAAAACTAATTTTTTCAACAGAAGCATCAAGCTTATACCTCCACAGGGGGGTGGCTGCAAGACACTGTAAAAATAGCAGGCTATCAGTTTTTAACAGATGCAACAGTAAGGCCTGACTTGCTGCTTCAGCCTTCTCAGCATTTTGCAACACAATTTCTTGCATGAGGAAACAAATTTTAAAAATAAGAGAAAGTCATCTTTCCTATTTAACTTATTCAAGCTAAGAACAAAAAGAGAAATAGATGCCCGAAGTTACTTCATTTGTGGAGATGTTTCTGTTAACATTAACAAGACTATAAATATAAATCTATATCCAGCCATCTAGCTAATCCTTGCTGGAGTTATTATGACATACATAAGTAAATAAATGCACACAGAGAACCACGTGCAGACTCATGCCCTCCGTTGAACCTGGAAAACATTTTTAATGTTATGACCCCTCCTGTAAGGCCAGTAGCACTCTGATGGCAGCATCACTGCATGAAGTCTCTGTCCATGCTGCGAAGTCCCAGCTGCAAGCAGTTTTGAGTAATGTATAGAAAGGCAGCCCTCTGCAGAGAATCTGGGTGGTTTGTTTTCCTTGTAAATATGTGGTTTTTTTTACAATAGAAATATTGCAGCTTCATTATCTATCATGATTCTGCAACACTTACAAGCATGGTCCTGTGTATGGTTTGCTAAAGGCTGAGTCCATGCAGATGGAAGGTTCACTACTGTGCAGATGAGAGATCAAGGCCAGTGGCTTGGGGACTGTGAATCAGAGCATTGCTCCATTCTTTTGTCACACATTCTAATGCCACAATAGGAAGAAAGAAACTGCATCAAGAAAACAGTTCTGCACTGGCACAGAGGCTATACAACAGCACAAGGAAATCCACTACTTACGTCTAAACTCCAGCCTTCTGAAATCCCAACTTTTTATTCATTATCAGAATACAGCTCTGAAACAGTGGCTAAGCAACAAATGGAACTGGAAAACACTGCATTTCAGTACATCAGGCTAGCAAGACTCATTTTAAATATGAAATATAAATAAACACATCACAGAAGTTTCATCCTACAAGCCCCGCAGTGGAGAACTTGTGATGGAACAACACTGGTTAGTCCTGGTGAGCACTGGGCCCTAGAAAACCTGGGCCCAAGGAGCTTCAAGTCCAGGGAAAAAGTTCGTGCTACTCCCTTTGTACCAACCATGTGCTTACAGAGTAGATCACTATGGCCTGTTTGTCAAATAGCAAGGAAATATTTTAAAATGAGAGTCTCATAAGAAATATTTATTTTTTCACTTCAGAAATAAGCTTGGGTAATAAATAATTTCTTCATACAGAAAATATGACAATGGCAGTTATCACCTCCCAAATGTTTTTTGTTTTTTGTTTTTAATTTGAGAGATGTCTGATATTTCCATTATGATTGAGGCTACAATCAGATAAATTTATAGGTCAAATTCTGCCTCACACAACATCTTGGAAGACATTTTGCTCTAACCCAGGACTGGTTTAATGCTACTTACATATATCAAAGAATTATTAAAAAAAAAAAAAGTGTTCATGTCAATGTGGATAATCCCATTTTTATGCTGGTACATCAGGCACAGCTTTGGAGGGATAAATAAAGAATTCAAATTTCAAATGTTTGTTTACCTCTATTTCTTTTGAATAACTTAATTTAATCTATTCTGTGTGAGAAACCTGGCATCTGATTTTGTCAGTATGTAATGTTAAATTCCAGGTGATAAGAATTGATAAAAATTACAGGTACACAGCAACTATGAAATCAAAGCCCATTGTGTCTAACACAGGGCTTTTAAGAACAGAAGCATCCAAAACATCACTACAAATTACTTAGCTTTTCAGACGTAATTAAATTAAACCATTTGTATGTGTGTGTGCTCTTGCCTGTATGCATCCCTACGACTGCAAAATGTAAAGCAGAGCAATTTTAGCCAAATATTGGTGAGGTATAAAACTTAATTACTCCTAGATACAGTTAAGTACGTCCTTCAATGAGCATATAAATTGAACAAAACCATGCCTGCAAATAATCAGGCACTGAGTTTTCTGGCTTTCGTAAGATTTCATTAATACATTAATGAAGGTTTTACATAATTTATACACTCAGACATATACATATATTTTATCTGTAATGTGTGCTTACATACAAACATACATATGCACGCGTGCAAACATGTGTACACATACCACGCACACTCACATCCCCTTATCTGCACCCATTCAAATTCTTTAAAGAAAATGCCACCATTTAAAAAGCACTGGAATTGGTTCCAGGTTCCTACATGACTTTAGACTGATAGAAAAAGGTAGTTTACATCTATTGCATATGAAAAAGAAAAGGAATTTACAACCAAAAAAAATTTTTTTAAAAAAGAAAGAATGCACCTCCTCCCCCCCCCACGTTACCAGCTTTCCAATTAGGAATCAAAATATTGGAATGAATCTGGTATAAATACAATATGCAATGGCAGCTTTGTATTTTTTTCAAATAAATTTCAATCTCTTGGAATTTAAATTAGTACCAATTTATGGCGAGCAAAAGTTCTTTCATAGATAAGTCACTGCTGAGCTCCTTTCTTCTTCTGCTCCAGCTCCTGCAAGCGTTCCTCCCGGCACTGCGCATGCTGCGTTCCCACTTTGTGTGCTGTCTCGGTGGCTGCAATGTCAATCTGTGCATATCTGGATGATCCACTCCCTGAAATGCCAAAGGAAATCATATCGTAGTCCATAGCCTTCATGCAATCTGAGGTAAAACAGACTCAGGTTGAAGCTATTGCTAGACTTCTCCCATAGATTTCCTAGGTGATCTTGGTCTGGTATTAAAATAAGCTCTATAAAGGAAGTAAGATGATAAGTACGACAAAAAACCTCACTAGCTTGGTTATCTAATTATTTTAGGTATCTGATTTTTTTCAAATAAGCACTTGAATCACTTGTATTTATGCTCCACATTTCAATCTCCACGCCTCTTTCTCCCAGTAGAAGACAAAACTGAACAGAACAACAATTTAGTCCGATATTAGAGAATAAGGTAGACGAAAGTTGCTCTATCTGTTCAGGAGCAGAGCAGTTCTGTATTGATATAGATACACCACTCTGGAAGAAGGGAGAACTTCAATATGAAAAAAATATAATACTTACAATCATTAGGAGCACCTCCAAAGTTACACAGCTTGAGCATGGATTGGTGTTACACAAACAGCAAAATTAATGACAGTTTACAGACACAAGGCTCGTCACTCTTAATGCCTTGGTTCACTGTCTTTAAAATGAATATAAAACATGACTTCCATATCTCAATGGAGACCCAAATTTAAGGTCTGGGAGAAGCTTAGAATTACTTACCTAAAGTTATATGGCACTGAACAACAGTAAATAATTAAAATAAAGGGAAAAATTGAAAGATATTTCAATAGCAAATGTGTTGAATTGAATGCCAAATCCCTGCTAAGAGTTTTCTGTAAGGGGGGATGAATCTGTAAGTGACTGTACATGGTAGCTATAATTCATACTTGTGGGCTAATTCTCCAAGACAAGCATTACAAGAAAAATATCCACAATATATATAGGGGTAGGTGAGGTGAGCGGGAGGGGGGGAGGATGTAATCAAGTGCTTCTGCTTTCCTGCAACCCTCATGGAAAGTAGACAGAAAACACCATGTTCTATTCTTACACATTTGCCATGTGGCTCTAGAGGCATTATTTTAATATTGTTAGAAGCAAGCCCGGTACACCTACACCCATGACCCTTCTGCTCAGTCCAAGCAAGAAAAGTTAAGCAAGTGTAGTCTTAATGCATGAATGAAAATCTTGAGAAAAATGAAAGAAATTACTATCCGTCAAACTTCAGAGACAAAATTCAGTTTAGGAGGAGTTCATATACAGTGCAACATTCTAGAGAACTTTGCTTGTTATGTCTTTTCCAAAAGAGTGGACATTTACAAGAATTAGTACAAAGGTACACAAGTACAAATTCCTCTGTTAGCCAGAGGCTGTGGGCAGATGAAATTAAGATATGGACAGAGAAATTAAGATTTTCCATACCACATATAGTTTGTGACGCTGTACCCACTGCTGTCTAAATAGTCCTGTAGGCTTTCTTACCTCTTATGCTTGTGCTGGCTTCTTGAAGTTCCAGTTCCATGTAATGAAGTTGTTTTTTGGAAGTAGGACTGACAGGAATATTAACGTAGGTGGCTGTCTCACTGTGGGGTCGATCTGATGTAGGGACATCAGCTGAATAACCTACAGCCCCTTCTAAAATAAGTAACACATTATTATAGACACTGTTCGCAATGACCAGTGAACCATTTCATAAAACACACCATTCTGTCAAATGTTCTGAAAGCAAACATTCAGCAATAAAAACTTAAGTCACCAAACAGCGCATTCTTCAGTCCTAAACAGGACATAAGGTTTCTACAGAAAATATCCTCAGAGAATGATCAAGTCAGGATCCATGCAGAAGGCCACAGACCATTGCTAGTGATCTCATGTTGTGACTAAAAGCAAACACTACACAGAAATTCGCTAGCAGACACAATGTATGCAACACTATTAACCTGAACTGGAGCTGAAAGCACCTGGGAGTAAAGCCTTACATGAAATTATCTGTCGTAAGAAGATGTGGACTACTATAGCATCCAGAAGAAAGCAACCAAAATCACTAGAAGTTTAGAAAGTCACAAAAACAGACTGAAGACAGCTTAATGCGTGGGGAAAACAAGCTTATGCAGATATTCCGATCAGAAATCACAGAATGGTTTGGGTTGAAAGGGACCTTCAAGATCACCTAGATCCAATCCCCCTGCTATAGGCAGGGACACTTCCCTCTAGACCAGGTTGCTCAAAGCCCCATCCAGCCTGTCTTGAGTGCTTCCAGGGTGGGGGCATCCACAGCCTCTCTGGGCAACCTGTTCCAGTGCCTCACTACCTTCACAGTTTCTTCCTAATTTCTTTCTAATATCTAGTCTAAATCCACCCTCTTCCAGTTTAAAGCCATTTCCCTCATCCTGTTTCTACATGCCATTATAAAAAGTCCTTCCCCAGCTGTCCTGTAGGTCCCCTTCAGGTATTGGAAGGGCGCTATAAGGTCCCTCTGGAGCCTTCTCCAGGCTGAAGAGCCCAACTCTCTCAGCCTGCCCCAGTAGGGAAGGTTCTTCAAGTGGGAATAGATCATCTAATAAAAGACTTAAATTTCAGGAAGAAAAGATAAATTAAATGTGGGAAAATCTTTCTAATAGTAAGGAGCAAAAGAACACCAAAGGAAATCTCACAAAACCTGAAGAATTTCATCATCTAGAAATTTCTGAAAAAGAGATAGACTAACATCAACCAGGAAACAGTTCTCTATAAAGTGATTCTGTCTTACAGAAGATTTTGTTATCTATTAGATGACTTAGCAAGACCTTCTCTAGCCAAATTTCAGTTATTCTAATTTTGCCAGAAGTTAAATACAGAGAGATCTTGGTGGCTTCATATGTCCATGTCTCTGTTGTACAACTGAGTCCAGAACTGGACATGGCAGACCAGATCTCACCAGTGCTAAGTAAAGAGGAAAGTTCATCTCCCTTGACAGACTGGCAATGCTTTAACTAATGCTGGCCATGATTCTGTCAAATTAATTTCCAGAGAAGACAGGTTTTCACTGCTGTTACTGCATGCATACTATCACTCATTTCATTATGGTTTTCTTGTGAAAGCCTGTTAAATTTACTTTAAAAAGCTATTTCTCATTTTCTTCCACATTTATCTTTGACAAGAAGCAATGTTTTTTTAAAACTTTTTGGCCAATGACTAAAGCCAGCTTTCTCCAGAACCAGAATAAAATAATCCCACAACCGTGTATTTATATATATCTGAGTAAACTGGTGGAAAAATAGTTGTCATAGGCAAACAGAAGATTCAGTGCCACAAGCATTGTCAGTCATCGCTTAAAGATGTTCTAAATTGAAGAAGAGATAAAAAGATGCTTATGTGTAGTTCATCGACTATTATGAAGGGACAAAATCACAAGGGATTTTCATTTGGAAAGTTCATCTCAAATGGAAACATAAAATCCAGTGTGAAATAAGGAAACACAACAGTTTTTAAGCACTAAGGACTAGAGAGATATCCCCTTAGAGCCTGCTGTTAAGATGGGATAGAAGAGTGCAGAGAAAAAATGGTATTTCTTTCAGTTTCTTCCTCTCCCTAAAGTTTTCCCATTAAACCCTTCCATAACCACACATAAAACTCAAACCAAAATTTTACTTTTCCAAATCACTGCTTTTCTTTTTTCTCCATTCAGGCACTGTTGGAGTGAGAACAGAAAGGCAGTAGGTGGTCAAGGCTTTTCAGAGTACGGAAGATAATGACTTCATCCAAGGATCCAAGGAGAAGCAGCTGTGAATAACCATAAAGGGAAACTTTCTCTTCTTTTTGGATGGCAGAGAGAGCCTGTACAAGTTGGGTAACATTAAGAGTTATCAGAAGCTACATTAAGATCCAGGATAATGTGGTCTCTCCAGACACAAGCTATTTAAGTCAAAGCAGACTACACTGTGGTCCAAGATTTTAAAAGCCTTGAAAGCTGACCAATTTTCTAACATATATTCGTTAAAAAAAAAAAAAAAAAAAAAGAGAAGAATAAACCACTACCATCAGAGGAAATATCTAACTGTACCAAATTACCATTCTCAGAAATAGGTGAATGATTCTGTCTAATGCATGTCACAGAAACTTGGCCTGACCATGCCGAAAGGATTTGGCAGAACAAGAGCATTGAAAATCTTCATCAGAAATAGCTGAATTCATAAACAGATTACAACCTTAAGGCTGATACGGAGTCATGAGTAGTCATGAAGAAAAATGTTTTTGAAGTCTTTCCATTCATCGTTAAAGTGAAGCAGCAGGATTATAAGTAAAATGTCCTCAAAGTTATTGAGGATATAAGCTAGCAAAATCCTCTATAAAACTAAGCAGCAGGAAAGCAAATCTTATGCCTGGTGATTATCTGAAGAACTAAAAAAAAAAAAAAAAAAAAAAAAAAGAAGAACACAAGGAGAAAGAAACATTAATTAGTAGATCTTTGTGCAAGAAAGAAAAAAAGAAAGCCCTGGCAAAACTCAAAATTTCTTCCTATACCTTGACATACAGAAAAATAAAATTCATATACAAAATTAAGCAAATTGGAATAAAAGTGAAGGAAAGTGAAAGAAAGTGAAGAAAAACTCGTTTTTCTTGTTTAGACTATGCTGTTTTAACAGAAACTTTGATTTCTTTGTAAACTTGGGTTTTCATTTTTTCTTTGCATAAAAATATCATTAAAAATGAAAAAATGGTTTATCTTTGTTTGCAGAAAAAGGTTTATTTGAATGGCACAAGGGAGTTAACATCTCACAATAAGAAATTAAGGCATGCAGAGTGCTATGGACAAAGATGATGCTTTCTGAGGTCCTTTCTGGATGGACTGAGGTAGAAAATCCTTATGAAAAGGTTCAGAATACAGGATTTGTGTGGGATTTGTGGTCATTATGGAGGGAGAATTTGGAAGAAAAAAAAAAGACCTGAATTAGCAGTTACAGTCTGGAGACATTGTGAAAGAACTGGCAGGGTATCATGTTTGAGGAGAAAGGGAGGAAAAGATAGAAACAAAATTGATAGTTCAATTAGTAGTGAGAAGGGTGAAACAGGAAATGAAATGGTACTTGAAAGAAATGGGGAGCTGGAAGAAAGACAAGGAAAGAAAAAGATAAGAATGACTGGGAAGGGGAGAGAAAACATATTTGAAAGTGATGTTTCAGTCTTACAGTGTTTGTTGCTCACAGAAAGAAAACACTACAAACTTTGCTTAGTATATATGTGTGTGTGTGTGTATGAGTGTGTATGAGTCTGAACACACTTGCAAAACTAACATCTGCAATGATCATCGCTCAAAAAAATCAACATTTAGAAGACATCACAGCATAAAAGAAAAAAAAATAAGCAGAAGTTAGCTTCCTCTGATGCAATTGGTTGCAAAGATCTTCAGAATCACTGAATCATAGAATTGCCCAGGTTGGAAAAGACCTTAAAGACCATCAAGCCCAACCACAACCTATCCATACTACCTTCATTCTAACAACTCTCCACTGAATCATGTCCCTGAGCATCCAAACGGTTTTTAAACACATTCAGGGGTGGTGACTTGGTTTACTCACCAGGCTCCTCAGAGCTAGTAGGAGTTCCAGGTTCTGCAGGTAGTGTCAGCACCTCATAACCAACTTTAGGACCTACAACAGAGGAACGCCATCAACAGTTTAGAATTCAGCAATTTGCACTATGTAAACAAAGCATCTGATTTTTCGGGTTTAGATTCGTGATCTGCTAATCTAAACAATCATACCAGGAAAAAAATCTCAGGAAGTAGCTAGTGTTGACTTTTTTGGTGGTGATGTCAATGTTTTTTAATGAGAGCGAGTAAATAAACATGGACATTTTTACATATATATACATACAAGGGCACTAAAGTCAACAGTGTGTTTTGCTATACATCAATGTGGGAGCAAAGCTGTCTTGAATGTATGAATCAGGGAGAAGTGGGTGGGTGATCTTGGGAGCATTTGGAAGACTCTTGTTAAAATTCCACCTCCAGCATGATGGATAACTTCTTGATTTCTGACAAAGCATTGTAGAAAGTGCTTAAACTGTCCCTTGCAAGGACGACTTCGCATTTCAAGTGCAAACCATCATCCTTGCAAGAAGCCAAGCTGTGCAACATCACTGGTGCTTCCAGAGCAATAAGATGAAAAAGATTCCCAGGTTCCACCATGATCACGGACTCCACTCAGTTTCACATAAGATAAGCTAAAACACTGTGCTCTTAATATGAATACATTGGTATTAATGTTGAATGACAAACACAAATTTATCTGCAGATGTTTTCTCCTTCATTATCATGAACTATCTTTAAGTGTGCTGTTTTTTCTCCCCATCGTCTCATTGCTAGGATTTCTCATGGCCTAAGGTGGGTTTTTTTGGTGGGTATCCTTTGTTAAAATGCTGGCAGTATTATACTGCTGTGAATAAGATTGCTGCCTATGCTCTGACACTTATCTCATCTGTCACTGTCTCTTCTAAACTTATCCCATCTGTCAATGTCTTTCTAACAAAACCCTGTGCATCAAAAAGCCCAAAGATATGTAAGTGTTACAAAAGGGAATCAAACCATATATTAACATTTCCTAAAGTTTAAAATATTTTAAGTCTAAATAAATTTGAACTTACATGCACACACATACTTCATAACCACTTATACCTACCAGCTTGGAGACTGTGCCCTCTCTGTAGTTTCAGAGACCCAGAAGCTGCCATGACAGAAGAAGCACCTGTTTCCAAAGAGAGAAAATCATATTAAATCTAAATATCTTCTGCTATTGTTAGATATCTGCTGTGCATCAGCAGCCTTAGTAAATGTTTCTGAAACATCAAGAAAAATTTCCATAAGTATTGTAAGTCTTTGGCACTTGCTCTTGTAAAATTTCATGCAGTTGCTAATTGCTCAACCTTCTAATTTGTCAAGATCTCTCTGCAAGAATTTAAAGCTGTCATTAAATTCTTATCAGGTGGATCCAAAACCTGCTAAAGAGAACTGTACTACACTTCAGTAGTCCACTGTCCAATGCTAAAGGATCTAGCTTCAGTGGGGTTTGAATCTGGGTCACAGCTGGTTCTTCTGAAATATTGTTCCAAGTGTTACAGCCAGAAAAGCCTTACCAAGGACATATCGGATGGCACAGTAACTTTTCTTTCCTCTGCTCTATTCAGATCAGCATGAAATTCTTGAAACAGCTTTAGATAAGGAAGTGTAAGGGAAGATGAGCTGGAAACTTGGAAACGTACAAACAGGTACACATGTAATGCAATTTGTCTACATCCATATATTCAACAGGCAAACTGAACAGCATTATACTCAACTTTTCATTATCATTAGCTGGCCACGAATTTCTTGTCTACTGTTCTTACAGTGGGCACCTTAATCAAAATGAATGGCATTTGCTTCCTGAGATGAATAATTTCATGGGACCTTCTTGTGCAAGTAATTGGTACTTAACAGAAATGAAGTAGGAGGCTCTGCTTATGAGCAACCCTGCCACTGGTGACAGGGCAGCTGTACAACGTGCTTCTGGGTGCTTGAGATTGTATAAAATTAACACTGTCTTCTAAACCAATGAATAGCTGAGCAGGTGAGACAATTCTTTGCAAATTGTTTTTAAAATAGCAACCAAAAATTAACATAATTCATATGTAACACAAAGACATTCTGTAAGATAAATAGCAATCTTAAGTACCTAAGAAATCTGCATGACCTGGGAACGAAAAAGGTACTTTCTTCACTTCTTCCCTGCACAGAGGATACACTTATAAAAAAAAATTTCTAATTCTAATAGTTTTCATGCTTGGAAAATTATTCCTACACTTTTACAAAATAAACAAAACACATCATTTCATTTGATAAGGATGATAGATTTAAAAAATAGCAAATATCTCAAGAATGCATAACTGAACTAAAACCTCTTATCTTGCAGGGGTTTTTTTGTAGTTAAAAGCATATCTAGTGTAATCCAAGGTTACAAGAATGACAATGTGCCACATCGAGAAAACTGTATTAAAAAAATGAGATCAGATTGTAGAACTTTTATGTACCCTGGTGAAATATTAAGCAACAAAAACCTTTTTATTACACTTCTGTCTTTAAAAAGACTGCTAATATAAATAAATGCAAGAACAGGACAAAGAAGTATGACATCCCAGACTAGGTCGTTCATTTATACTTCTCATCACCGAATATCCCCTTCCTGCATTATTAAGGACATCAGAACGTGCTTTATAAGATTGAAAGTCCCATCTTACTTTGAAAAGACAACTACAGCTTTATGCTAAATGTAGTTTCATCACAAACTGATTTTTTTTACTCCTCAAATTTGTTTGTAATTCAGTAGGAATTGTTCTTCAGGAAATGGGGATTTTGAAGAAATGTTTGTAGGATTTGTGAAAAGCACACAAGAGAGGGAAGTAAATGTAAAACCATAAAGATTCCAGTCCATTTAATGTCAAGTCAAAATCTTCCTCCATGGAGCTGCTTTAAAACAACCATGTTAATGCTTCAGGATTTGAAGTATTGCATTTTCCTCATCTTCAAATCAGGCAAATAACAAATATTTACATAGTCAAATCGCTCATGGAATTTTTGTGAAGCTTCTAAATGTATTATGTTAACACATATCAAGAGAGATTGACCTATTTTCTTCCTTCTTCTTCATGGTGCATATGCATTTCTTTATGCCCATTCTTCTAGAATAAGCACAGTTTTCAGTACATGTACCACAAGAACCAGCCATGGAAAAGAATACAAATGAGGAAACCTGGAACACATGTAATAAACCAAGCCCACGTAGGCAGGTTTTCAACTCTTGTCACCTACTCTTGCACAGTCTTTAAGAAGACACATGTAATATGCAAGCAAACACCTCTTACTGCCCAGCCTCCCTGCCTTTATAGAGTAGGTCACAGAATAGAAGTGTCATCAAGTCACCCTAAAACAGGAAAAAGGAACCTGCTGGATCTGCTCAGCCCAGAGGGTGAACCAGCAGCATATGATTTTGTGGCAATGACTTTTCGTCCTTAGTCAGGCCCCTGGAATTCAGATTATTCTCTAAGGCCATGGTTTGGTTTGCAGGTACAATTAACAATTCTGCCAAGCTTTTATTTTTCTTCTGCTATGGAATTATTTTAAGTGCACTTTTAAAATAAAGTACGATCAAGAAAGTGTGGCATGTTATGGCAGGGTTTTATTAGTCAGTTTCTGATAATAATAATGCTGTTCTCCTGCAATATTTAGCCCTGTGACCTACAGCTTATTGATGATGGACACTGTTGGGCACTCTTTACTGACTGAACAGCAGTATCACTGTAAACTTTGCCTTCATACATATGATGCACTGTTGACATGTATCCTTTAAAATTTTTTAATTAGATATTATTTCCAGCCCAAGCAGTGTGGGCCACATTCTTCCCAGACAGCACAGTCAAAAAGAAAAGTAGAAATTTAAGAACCTCAAAACGTAATGATATTCAACTATACTGCTTCCAACAGAGGATGTTTCATTACTTCTTGACTTAATTTCCCATTCAGCTCTTGATTTTTGTAATGGCAGAGCCTGCAGCACAGAAGCACAGACTGATCAGAGTTTCCAATACAGATGTTTCATCTGGATGTTAAAATGCCAAAGTATTTACAAATACTTTTTAGCTTGCCATTTGAACTAGGTATGTTCCTTTGAAGTTGCTTAGTTGATTGCTTAGCATATGTAACTAACAATAGAAAGATAACATTATCATCTACATTCTCTAGCAATAAACTGAAAAACATTCAAACAATTGATCCTGACTAACCCCATTTGTTGATACAGAACTGAAGCATTCAAAAGCAAAAATTGTTGAATAGAACAGGGGGCACACAGAGCAGTGAATGGGGCGAGTTTGCATTTGTATGTTGTATTTGAATGGAAAAGAAAAAAAACAATACAATCATTTCTGTGCTAAAAATACGAAGTATTTGTGACTGAGTGGATTGGTACAGGAGCGAACAACCCTAAGGTGTCAAGTCACTGTAGAATTATGCACATTAGTATGCATATCTTGCCACCAAGCCAGATTTTGAAAGTAATTACCTCAAATTAACATGCTTCTATGTTATCCGTGAATGTGGATTAAAACAGCATATAAGAGAAACATAGAGAAGTTTTAATGCTGCTCCTTTAGTCCAACAGAACTGATTGAATTACTGCTTGGCACCAAGGGACTGCTTGGTACAAGCCTAGAATTAAAGACAGTAAAAGCAAGGAATTGAAGGGCTACAACGTTTTTTTAAAGCTTTGTGATACCAAGTTTAGTTACACTTAAAATGTTCACGTATCTAAAAACAATACTCCCAAATGAAATATCTCAGGATAATAAAAAAGAAACAGACAAAACGTGGGTTTACTTTGCATTGTGAAGAACAGCACAGTATTGAAGAATGAAGCACAAATATATAATCATAGAATTACAATTAGCTAATGAGACTATCTGAGAGATGAAAACCCTACAAAGATGGCTAAAAATTTCAGTCACTGCCTTTAGATGCTTCATCTGTCTAAGGCATTGTATACTAAATACAAGTATTCTGTTTTTGCAGTGTGCAAAAACCCACCCAAACTTTTACCAGTGTAGTCTCTTCCCTTTCTTTTGATCCTAAAATCTGTTCTTTAGTTGCTTTTCCAGATTGTTTAATGATAGATATTAACAAAATAGCTAACTCCTTCACCTGCATGAATAGTATGAGATCAAGTTTTTGCCAAGTAATGCTTGCACCCACGCTTAATTTGCCACCGAAATTAGTGTAGAAATATACCCACTACACACAGCTATAGAACCCTCTGTATTTACACACATTTCCATTATAAGAATTTCTCTGGTTTCCTTGGGTTGGTTAGAGAACTAAAAACCTGTGTTATTAGAAGTAAGGAGAAAATCAGAGGTAATGATACAATTCGTGCTTCTATTTAGTCTTCTATAAATCAATAGAAATTCCACTGACGAGGAACAAGATCTGCTACATGCTTTTAGATTTACTCCTGCTAAGACAGACAAAGGAATAACTTATGACCTTTTTCAGAGACATCACCTGATTCTGGTATCTCACTGAATTTGCTCACACAAGCTGCAAGCAGCTACAATTCTTTCTGTACTTGCTAAGATTTTTAAAATTCATAAAGAATCCCAAACACGAAATGTTGTTCTGTTGGGAACAATGTACCTGGTATATTAAGTGAATCTACTGAATTATCAAGTGAACAGGCAAACAATATAAAGGCATTTAAGACACTATACAACATCCCTGTACAGACAACCCAAAGGAATGAGATGGGCACAGTACATAAAGCCAAACATACTTACAGACTTGTGAAGTATTATCTATGTAGTAAAATAATGATAATAAAGAAGCCAGACCACTCTGACTAAATGAAACAGCAAACTCCAGATGATCAACACCTTCCACTGATATGGAGATTTACAACGCAAAGACAGTCGGTGTGTTACCTTTGCCTAAATCTTTCAAGGCAAGATATTCAGCTTCCTTCCTTTACTGATGTATCTGTCAATTAGAATTTCTGCAGACAGGAGAGAAGCAGCTCCATGTTTTGTCTGGTAAGGATACGCTCCTGGGTTTTTGTGCTATTTAGAAAACATTGTATCTATACTGAAAATACAAATCAAGTTTGCCCTTGGTGTTCATATAGCCTAAAAAGAACACCTTGACTTTGGGGACCTAAACAGAAGAAGCACTGCACAGTTTGATAAAGAACCCGATAAATTCAAACTTCTTGATTATAAAGGGAAGGAAAAATTCAAACGCATTAATCTTTGCAACTAAAGACTCTAGAGATTACAGTCTACTTCATAAATGCCAGTCTCATGAATTGCAGCAGCAAAACCAACCACAAGCTTCTAAATTAGGGAAGTTCAGTTATTCTTCCTTGAATATAATGCTTTGTTCATCACCATTTGGGTCTTAAGCATCAGTAGGTACTAACAAAGTAAATAATTAAGTGGTTCCTACCTGGTAGAGCTGGTAAGACTCCTGGCTGTAATATTGCTGATCCCTTGGAAAAAAAAAAAAAAAAAAAAAAAAGAGAGAAAATTTTAGAATCTTTACAAGAAATAGAAACTGTACAAAGTATAGGAAGAATGACAGAGCAAAGCACTTCACCATCACAAAAGCTTAACACATGCTTTTCAAATCCAGAACACTGGCAGTGATTTTTCCAACCTGAAAGTGTTGTGAATATGCATGCACACCTTAGCAAATGCTAACTTCACTTTGACTGCTTTACAATTCCTGTAGCACATATCATAAGGCTTAGGACAATTGAACTGACTGCAAAAAGCAGAAAATTTGATATTCAGACAGAGATAATAACAAGCTGGAGTAACAGGATTAACATTATGAACTCAGGGTAGGAGGTGTGGGCAGACCAAAGCCTGGTGCATTTGTTTGGTTCCATAAAACCAACACATCCTAGCTTGCAGCCCAGTCTGACTTCAGGCTGACTACAAATCCCACCTGAGACATAGAGGTCTTTGTATCAAAGCTTTGTGTCATCTCAGCTACTTTACCATACTGGTATTGTGGCAGCTGAGGCACTTCAAAGCAGGCAGCTGCAAAGTAGCAGTGCCCAGTCACATCCAACAGTAAGCAGATTTCAGAATGTGTAGGCCAGGATTCTCCCAAAACATGCACTGTCATTCACAGATGGTCAGGAACAGTGACACTTTGATCACCTCCAGACAGCACCGAGGCCTTTCATGGGCTACAACGTCAGGATAGGCTGTAAGGTCAGCCTGCTCTGTGCTGCTGATCCCCATGCTGCCAAGGAGATCTCTTATTTCTGGGCTCTTGGCAAGAGCAAAAAATTCATCACCACAATCTATTCTTTTTTATTAATAAATGCATCTTCTGAACTTTGAAGTGAAAAAACACTATCTGGCTACCAGAACTGAGCCATAATGTTCAGTTACACTGAAGTAAAATTCCATTTTAAGCTAACACCTGACAGCAATTTTCTTTATTTAAATACACACACTGTGACCTCTGACCACTGTTTCCTATGCTTTCCTAAGAAGTGGAAGCTTTCGAGAAATACTCAAGATATACAGGCATCTCTATATAGGCACTGTGTTTACTTCCCCAAATTTCTTAATAGGAAACAAAATAGATTTTTGTATTATAAAGCTCAAGTAATACTAATTCCTACACAATATTTTCTTAGGGCAAACATATGGAGATGTAACATTAATTACATAATGCACTGCATAACCCAGAACAAGGTGACACTATGCAGCAAGATGGAAGGAAAAGAAATTCACAGAATTATCTGAAAAAAATGTGAGCACTGAACCAACCCAGACATAGCATGTTCTGTGAAATAATCTGTCAGGCTGCCTTCAAGTGGTGCTGCAGTTTCTTAATCAGAGATTATTTTCTTGATGGTATACTAATTATTTTCCCTTTGTTTACTACTTCACAATCTCTTTTGCTGAGATGCTTTCTAGATTTCAGAAATTATAAATGTAACATAGAAGAATAACTGTCAGTTAGCAACTGGATCCAGCTTCAGTTAAAGTAAGTGAAAAGACTGTTTTGGCTTTGATGAAACTTGCATGACATGCAAAACAATAAAAGATTGCAATGATTCTTTTTCAGACTATAAAATATGCATTGAAAAGAGCTTATTTGGACCATTTGGTGTATATTTTTTAAAGTACAGTTTTAAAATGTGTAACACACACCCTTGAACAGGGAGGTAACACACATCAGACAGGAGACCATCACACAGACATGGAAACTGATCTCTGTGTTTATGGAGATTTTTGCAAGCTGTATGCTTAACATGAGAGACACTGAATATGAGTAACTGCTCATATAGAAGGGGTGGGGTGGAGAGAAACAGAAAAAAGAAATCCCACAATGTTTTGTTTAAACACGTATTTGTTTAACATAGCAGATGTTATTTGTTTCTATAGTTACTGTATTCCACCACAGAAGATATGGGTTTCAGTGGGGGACAATGCATAATTACCTGTACAAGCAAAGTACAGAGAGCTTTGGAAACTCTTATTGGTATTATATTGTATATTTAAGCACACTTTTCCTTCTTCCAATAATTCATTAGGGAAATATATTAATATTATATTAATATAGATTATAAAATATCTCCCTGACTTCATGACTGTGGATATAAAGCAGAACATGCTGTCCCAAAGTTAATAGCTGCTAGCCCAGCTAATGGAATTGAAAGTGGCAGACTGCAGCATCAAAATGCATAACATTCAGATCTTACTAATGAGGAAGGATCTCATAACGTTCAGGTAACTTGTTTTTGCTTTTACAAAAAACAAACACAAAAAATCCTTTATTTTTAACTGACAGGTTTGGAGGGGTGGAACTGTATGCTACTGCAAGGGCTCAATCAAAAATTGTTTGAGGACGGGGAAAAAGTCTTCATCTTCCACCCTTCTCTCTCTAGAACTGGTGCAGCTTTGCTGCCATTCATGGACCGTGGTTGGTGCGTGAAATTAGACAGAAAGACAAAAAAATCTTTTTAAATTTTTTTTCCAAAAATGCATTGCAGACCAGAATATCCTAAACTATGGTAAAAGCAGGGCTAGAAATAACAGAGAGAAAACAGAAAGCCTGTAAGGAAGTTACAAGTTCTTTAAAACAGAAAGCATTTGCATTCTCTATCCATAGCCTCCAGACAGGAGTCCTCTTTCAACCTTAGATCTTAGAAGCAGCAGTGATGCACATAAACAAGTAATAAACTGAATAATTTTCACTATAATTGGTTTTCTTCTTAACTTCTAGCAAAGTTCTTTATTGCAGCATCAGCTACTATGTGCTGAACAGCACTGTTCCTCCTGTAAATCCAAATGGTAACTACTGGATTTATTTGCAAATTAAGTTCAGTTATTTTTTTCCTCTTCCCAGCATTGCACAGGTAAGAACCAGGAGGATTAAGAAGCCTTCCAGTGCTGAATGCTTCAGTTGCAGAAAATTTTTTTTTGCAATGTGCTGCTTAATTCAACTTAAAACCCATCAGCAGGGTCTTCCGACTTCTGCATGTGAGCACAGAATTCAAGCCTTCATTTTCTGTTTATTCTGCACAGAAATAACCAAAAATTGAATGTGTCACTAACTTAAGTACAGTTTCTTCAACAATTGAACTTATTTGATGGCTTGAAATCCTAGTCAGTCTTACAAAATCAATTCTAAATAGCCTTTCATTTAAAAGTACAGGTTAGGTGATTAAAGTATTAATCGATGAAAGCTGGAAGAAAAATCACAATTAATACTTTCAAAGCCATTCAAAGGAGATTAGATGATACCTGACAAAAGAAGTACAAAGGCAAGCAGAAGTTTGATGTAATTTCACACATCTAATATTGGGCAATGATAAAACATCATTGGAATTACAGCAAGATGTAAAGAGAAGAGCAAATAAATAGAAAAAACAAATATGATTACATATAAGTGAGTCAGAGATAATAACAAAATAAAATGAGCCTTTTGTTTTCAAGTGATTTTTCAGACTATGAAATTGTTGTTTTCATTTTCATTTCACTGAATTTATTTCATTATTTCTGCAACCATGAAGTCTCCTGCTCTGACACTTTATGAGAGACTTCACTAACTTACAGTGGCTGCTGCTGAGGCAACTCACTGGACAGAATGGGATCAGTGACTTTAAAGCTTTTTTAATTCTATATGCCTAAGACAAAACATGATTTTGTCTATAGGAGGAAGTTTTATATTTCTGTGGCATAATGTAAATACACAGTTTTCAAATGTAAAGTACAATACAGATCTCAAACTGCCATTATGGCAGAGAAAAAACATCAGCAGGTGACCTCACTCCTGTAATATGCTTTTGTTATGACTGGTATGATATTCAGACAGTAACTAATGATGTGTTTATTTAAATCACACAGATCTGCTGATACTTATAATTTAAGTCAAATATCTTTCAAATGTAGTTTACTGCTTTCTTATTATCTCTGACCCAAGAGCTGAGTGCTGAAATATGTGATGCATGGTTTGTTCAAACAACTTCACCACAACACCCACAGTAAGTGGATATGTACCACTTGTATATCACACATCATGAACTATGTGTGCAGGGCTATTTTAACTCTGACAGTGATCTGGCTGCTGTCAGATGACACTCATTTTTTAAGTTCTGCTTCCAAAACTCTTGGGTAGGGTTCAATGATAGATGTTAGGAAAAGCACTAGTTTTATACGCTGAATCATTATTCATAGATTAGTTTCACTGCCTTAAGCAGAACCTAAACTTTAGCATTTCTGTCTGTTTGCAAACAACCACCATGATACATAATTATTTTTACAATTAAAAAAAAAAAAAAAGGATATCTTTTTCCCTGATTTGTTACATTTTTTTCCTCTCTCTTTCCTTTTCATTTTTAATGGCTTTATTTTATTTCATTCACTTTAAATTCCATGAAATATATAGCTTACCATATCAGTCTTCATCTAAAGAAAATTACCATACACAAATTTTTTTTAGTAGCTCCATAATTCTGAACCTAGTAAGAGTCAGATGTACAGTCTCTTAGGTGTCATTTGCATTTGTCTAAGCAGATGCATGAAGCTTTGTCCCACTCTGGATTCTCAGAAAGACTTAACAAAGATGAGAGGGTCTAAGCTTCTTTCTCTGAAAGAGGAAACAGCCATAGTAGCAACTGTTGTCACCACACATATCAAAAAACATTTATAAATGGAGAGGATGTGTTGCAAAACTGTCCAGCTACTTAATTTTCAGTAAATCTTCTCTCTCCTTCAATTTTAAAGCCACTGTACAATGTCAAAGACATGCAAAACATCCATTTATTCAATTGAAGACCATCAAGATCATCATGACCTCTGAAAAACGAAAAAAGCAGACTTCTCCAACAATATATGAGCAAATATTCTCATGCCTGCTATACTCAGCTGATAGCTCTTCATCAGAATCCCTATTTATATGCAAAAAGAGGCAGCAGATTACACTTATGTAGTTTATGACTATAGCATCTTGGACCGTGTG